GCTCTTTCGGCGGCCATTACGGCGACTCCTCTAGCCTCGTCTGATAGCATTAAAAGATACTGCTTCTTTATCTAAATAACTCGGCGAGACGTCTGTTATCTATTGGAATCTTTAAAGATAGTGGAGTTTTACTTTCTTTTAATATATAACTCTTTTTCTTTTGTTTATTAATTCCGATTGTAAACCGAGTATAAAACATAACTCGGTTTTTTTCAAAGAGGATGTAAAATGAAAATAATTCTTTGTTATTTAATTGATTTTATATATGATTTAGTAACAATTAAATTGTGTGAATGTTTAATCTAATGTAAGAATATTCTTTTATAAATAAGGAATAACTCAATAGTATGAAGTTAATGTCAGCTACTTTCCATTGTGGCATACCATTAGTATCCTATCTATTATGTAGCATATTCAATGGTCTGATCATTCTGATACCTGACGTAAATTCATTCATTCATTCTGAATGTACGATAATATTGAACAAAGCTAATTATGCTTTTGTTTATTGTGATTTACAAGTAAAGACGTGTAATAGTTTTAATTATAATAGTTATGTAGTGAATAACTAATAGATTTTTTACTCAACAACCGTCAACTCATCTGCACTCCGACATTAGGGATGTCCATGGGCGTCGATGATCAGAATTGTTTCTCGAGTCAAATATATATGTGATGATATATTAGTTTAATTTCAATAGTATTTTAAAATTTATATTGTTGGTACGAAGTTAAACGTCTTTCGTTTTAAAGTAAACAAGAGATATGCACAGACAATAAAAAAGCTCAACAATTTAGAATCTGGCTTTTACACACAATAAGACATTTAACAATGGACGTAAAATGTCTCCCCTTACTGTACGTCTTTAAACCGAGAAATGGAAAATAATCACATAAAATAAACTACTGTAGATCCAATCTCCCAAAAATAAAACTATAGATAAAGTATTTATAATTTATGTTATGTTATTCAAAATCTTATTACGTCTCTGTAACACTTTTCCTGTAACATTTTAATCCAAATTTAGATCATATGCTAGCTTATGCCCGCGACTTGCTCGGGATTAAAAAAACTAGGTAAATATCCTATGTGTTCTGAAAAACTATGTTTTATATTTAGTCTTAAGTCCATCAAGATTCGTTAAGCCGTATAAATACAAACATCCATCTATACAATTTATAATATTAATATTATCCACAATCAAATAAAAGTAGAATGTTTTATCATAAACTTGCCATACCTACGTAGGCTCGGCACAGTATGTGCTGCTCTTCCATACATTTCTATCAGCCGTAATATTTGTATCTACTCCCTTCTTAAGCTTATCCTCACATAATCCATCCACAAAATAGAATGTTTAATAACTAAATTTTGCCCGAGACTTCGTCCGTGTGATATTAAAAAAAAGTAAGTAGCCTATGTGTTCTTCCAGGCTATCTTCTACATCTATGTCCTATTTCATCGAGATCCGTACAGCTGTTAAGGCTACAAACTCTAAGAAACATCCATCCATCAAAAATTTCGTATTTATAATATTAGTATGATTATAAAGTTTTCGATATTGAGACGTATTAGAAAGCTAATTCTAAACGCTTTAACGGTACTTTGAGGAAAATAGAGGTGTAGAAGAGTTTTTAATTACTACGCTTGACGCGTGTATCGCTTGCCGGCGCAACGACAACGTGACGCCGACGCGACGACTTTTCAAAGAAATGAGGGAACACTCGTTATTTACATGGGCACCGGCGTACTATACTTACAACCTACTGTTTATCACAATATTAAGAGTACTGTCAAAACAAGACAAGACACAGTTTAGAACTATCGATTTATGAAATATATGTTCCATATGAATATAAATGTACATCTTTTAGTTCATCTATATTTACATTAGAGGAATGATTTGTATTTTTGGGTTTTTGTATGTATTTGATTCAGGCAAAAACTACTGGTCCGATTTTAAACCTTTTACCATTAGAAAGGTAATTAATCTGTAAGTAACATAGGCTATATTTTTCTACATTTAAGAGGACAAAGTCGCGAGCAACAGCTAGTGTACTATAAAGGAGTAAGTAGGCTGAATAATAAAAACTTAATGAATTTATATATTTAAGTTAAGTTAAGTTCAGAAGTTATGTTTAACTTATAATCGAAATTATCGTTATGCAACTCGTTACATTTTAAGATATTTAAATGTACATAAATATTGTGGATGTTTGACTATATGCGAGTACATAAAATATTTATTATCTATTCTATGTTAATGTATTTAAAATAATTATTCAATAGGCGACCTCGGTTTTGCATAATACTATTCAAAATTAAGTTTTTATAATTCTAATCATACTCGGTGGAAATAATGATAAACACTTATTCATATATTCTGTTGTTTGTAATTATATTTATGTTCACTTGAATATGCAATATATATGGCACATAAAATTCTTAAAATTTATAGTACCATACCATACAAGTACTATAAGCAATTCATCTACAGAAAATCTTAGTCTACGTATATACGAGTACATATTTTTTAACATACATATATGCTTTCATATTACATTGTTATTTCAACGTCATCTGTATAAGACTTTTAACAGCAACTTTCGGAATATCACAAACTTTAACGTAGTGCTTTTGATGCTTCCACTTAAAGCTTTATATAACGTAAAATGAAAGCACAGAACTCAATACTTTTGTTGAGGAAATGAAGCGTTTGCGGAAATAAATTCACTTTAAGATAAAATTTTCATTTTAAAATCGATATTCTTTTATCTGCTGTATGCTACGATATATTATAGAGTAGGTAAAGTTGTCTTACTCATTGTGAGGTATATCCTCGATCTGGTTAGCGTTGAGGAGCGCTGCAGCCAGCAGCGGCAGCAGCAGCGCGAGCGGCGACATGCTGCCTTCACCAGCGCACCGGACACATGACACGCGGCTCGTCCGCACCGCGCCTCACATCCACACACCCACTGCACTGAGCACCGAGCACTGACACTCTCAAGGCTCTATTGTGCGAGGAGCATCCGCTTAGAGGACGGACGCCGAGCGGGCCGCAGGGCGAGGACAGAGTGGCGCGGAGGACAGCTTCGCGCCGCCGCACGCCGCTCGCCCCGCTCCCCCACACCCCGCGCCCGCAGGCCGCACTGCCGCTGCGCGAATCATACGCCCAATAACGCAGCGCTACTATACTTAATATTGAGATTTATTTGATAATGCAACAAATTCATGACACCCTAAACCTTTGTATCTATCTTAAATGGATGTAGATTACAATTTTATTTAATTACCGGTAAATTTTAATTTGTAAATTTGAAATATGAATTTAGGAGATTTTTTGGAACAGCTATTGTTGGTTCCACCTGTCCAAGTCCATGAGAGAAGTGTTTGGCATGAGTCACCAATGAACACGACGCACATGCGTGGGCATGACGCCAGGAAATCCTTTATTGATTCCCGCGCTCCCGCTTTCTAAGGAATGTCGCAAGCGTTGTTGCCGCCAAAATTACGTCCAGCCGCTTTTATAATTCGAATTAAAGAATTTGTAAAATTACTTTTGATATAATTGTATTAAACGTGGAATCGTAATTAAAATGAATTAGAACTCATTAAGCTTTCTATTATATAGGTTATAGCAGAATGAAGTTTTTCAAATATCAGCAACATGTTAAAAGTGTAATTGTTAGATGCAGTGCAGCGGATCACATCGGGGAACATAAAGGAATGTCGGTACGTCCTGCTTTCGGAAGCCGCGGCTCCGGGATTCCGACCTACTTCTAAAGCGGGCAATATCTCTCTCAACGTAAGAAAATAATTGCATTTCCACTGCAATTTTTGTTTACTTTTATCGCAATTGTGTTTATTTGAAAACATGTTTGAGTTTGTTATATATATGATTACTTTTAGACTATTACTAATTGACTACTTTTCCACAGGATTTAGAAAGTCCTCTCTTGGCTGTCTAGGTATCCTTAAAATGGCTTGAATTTAATCATTAGTTGGCTCCAGTTGTCTTCACCGATATTGCACCCAACTAGTAAAATATAATGTGAAGGTTTGCAAGATAGTTGATCCCAAGCTGGAAGCCGTAGCAGTGAAGCAGTGAAGCAGTTAAGCTAAACGATAATCAGCATAAGCATTGCTACACGCGAAGTGTTGAAAAGCAGCTAAATTCTTGAATAAAGCCATACACTACCTTACAATGTTACACTCGATAGATTGAGTTTATCGAGAAAATTATCAACTTGCCTTTATCCCTTATGGAGGGTCGATACAGAGCTTCCATAAAGACATACACTGAGAAATTAACAACAAAGAAAAATGTAGAATTTAACATTTACATTTTTTTAATATTACTAGAGGTTAAAACATGTGGGACAAATATGTAACAATGAATTACATAAATAATAGCAGGTTGAACAAAATGTGGTAAAAACTATTAAAAAGTAATCGCCCAACGTGGGGCTCGAACCCACGACCCTGAGATTAAGAGTCTCATGCTCTACCGACTGAGCTAGCCGGGCCTTGCAGAGTAACCTGAAAAACCTATTTCTATTCCTCATTTTAAAATTTTTCAAAAATGTTTATCGAATTTTCTGAATTAAATTGAATTGTCTTTGGATTCGATCATCCATAAAGTTGGAGATATACCGTAGTTTTTTTATTTGTTTTGTTTTTTGAATGTAATTTTAACGATTTGGTGAACATTTTATAGATTATTTAATTTTCTCGATGTTAGAGGTAGAAAATAAAAGATTTACTTAGGATTTTAAAAATATTTAATTCTCTCATTACAGTCCGACAGTTTAACACGAAGTTTTAACAATACCTTGTGCGTAAGGAAACTATTAAAAAATATATTTTCTTAATAAACAATTGCGGTGGTCCACAATATCTGCATTCATTACATGGGAAAAAATTATTATTACAAAATCATTTAAAAAAATTAAAATTAGACATTGGAATTGGAAACTTGACATTTTTTTTGCAAATCTAAAAACTGTTAAACAATTTGTTATGGATTAAAAATTAATTGTGCGTGATTTGTGCATTTACCATTAATAATTTTATTCAGCGCATTCGCTCAGTAACATTAGACTATATTTACAATACAATTAAGTAATAAACGTATAAATTAATATATCCTAAATAAGTACTTTGCACAAAATGTCACAACGCTCGTCAATCATTTACTGAGGTCAGAGTTACGTCAAATAATTCAGATCCTTGCGTCAATTCATCTGACAAAAATCAATTAATTCGCTAAATTGTACTTTGTTCACTGTTTCCTTCATATTTTGATCGCTAAATGCAGTCTTATATACCTGATCTTATCTAAAAAAAATCACAACAATACAAGAATATACGTATACTAATTAATCTCATAAATAAATGCCTTAATTTTTAAAACTTAACTAAATAAATTTGTACAATACATTCGAGTCTTCCTGAAAGTGGCGAAATATAGACACAAATAATAAATATGATAAATTAATATTCGACCACAGTCTTGAAACACACAAATGTAAAATGTATGGAGACAAAATAGAATTGTCTTTAAATAGGAACACACAATAAACGTTATTTAACATCAACACGAATCGTTATTTGGTCTGTACAGTAACAACAATAAGTTGTCTTGGAATGATATCGGTAAACGTCGATATATCGATAATGTACGTTGTAGCCTCCCTCACTAGCATATGGAGTTAACCTAAAATTACATTCCTCATAATACTGTCTTAAGGCTGGGTTAAATTTAAACAATATTGCTGAACCTTAAAACATGCCGTACACTAACCTCAATTACAAAGAGATTTATCATCATAACTTTAGGTAAAGATGTCATTATTCGCCGTATTAAATACACGAACTGTTAACACTAATGTTTACTTTAATCACTTTGTTCATAAAACTTTAATGACGAGAGGAATCACTTTCGTGGCCCGAATCTCGTCCGTTTTCTCGCGGGGACGCGCGATGCTCCCTTTCGTCTCTGTACCGGTCTCTTCTATCTCTTTCTCTAGACCTCTCTCTGTCTCTGTCCCGCTCGCGGTCGTCTCTATCTCTGTTCCTGTCGCGGTCTCTATCCCTGTCTCTGTCGCGGTCGTCGTCGCGGTCCCTGCGCCGGTCGTAGTAATGATACGATCGCCTCGACTTTCTGTCACTAGGCGTCACTACTTCTACTTTTATATTTGCTGTCGCAGTCACCTGGGAAAGAAATTTTACGTTAAAATATAATATGAAACAGATACTTATATTACAAATGCGATTGTTTGTCCGAATAGTTGGATAGATGTTTGTTATCACGTATTTCCAACCAGTAACTTTACTTACTAAGTTTTTAAGATCTGTACTAACAAAATTGTGGAAAAAGCATATTTTCTCACCTTAGTAGTAATAGCTCCTGAATGCGTGGTCTTCGAAGTGGGAGTAGACCGTCCGGAAGCGGAGTCGCTGCCGTTGTAAGTGGTGGTCTCCACCACCACCTCGGGCTGGACGACTATGGACTGCATGGAGGACTGCACGGAGGGCGCGGAGCTGTGCCAGCTGGGCGGCTCCTCCGTGATGGTGGTGAGGGAGGGCGCGCTCGGCCGTGGCGCCGACTTGGTGCGGCCGGCCTTGTCGCCGGAGCTCGTCTTACGCTGGTGAACCGGTGATGACTTCGGTGATGGAGTTGATAGTCGCTCCGGATGTTCTAGTGGACGTACCTGTTAAACAATTTTGTTATAGTAAAAAGTTTAAATTAAAAATGCAATAATCTGCGAATAAAGACTAAACTTCATATTAATATTATAAATACGAAAGTTTAGATGGATAGATGGATGTTTGTTGAAGTTTGTAGCATAAACGACTGAACGGATCGCGATAAAATTTCCTATAGATGTAGAGGATAGTCTGGAAGAATACATAGGCTCCTCACGTTTATTTTTTTAATTACACGCGGACAGAGTCGCGGGCAAAAGCTAATTTAATTATAAATATCACCGAAGTATATGTTCACATACCTCAGCAGCGGGTCCCAGTATCGATAGTACAATGGGGAAGAACAACAGTCCGTCCACCAAGCCCAGTATAACTAGAGCCAGCAACAGCCGCAGGAACAGCCTGGCGACGAATCCGAACTCGCTGGTGGCCAGCATTGAGGCGGCGAGGGCAGCGGCCAGCGCGCCGTGCACCACTGGCGCCAGCACCGACTCCAGTGCGAGCGCCGCGCGGCGACGTCTGCAGCCGATCGATGTTACGAAGCCCTGGATAGATAGATAATATTTTAGAAATATTTGATTTATTTATTTTTTGATTTACCTTAATTTATAGATAAATTAAATATCAAAATGGTAAAGTAAAGACTGATGACCAAATACTGAAACGAATTTTAAACTCTTCCCTTTAGAGCGGAGGCATACCTTTGATTTAACTATCGCAAATCTGTTGTGCGATTGTTGTTTGGAAGTCAATTGAACTGTTTAGTTGCACAACTAAAAATCGAGTATTGTGCACTTCTATATAAGCTCATAGGAATCAAAGCGAGACTAAGCAGTTGTGCAAGATTACTCAAAGGTGTGCACACGCTATTATAAGCGCTAACAATCGAACAGACAGTTTTTAATTTAAAAAACAGACAGTTGTTAATATTCTGTGGAGTGTTTATTTGTAAATGCAGTACACTCACGAGGCAGAGATGCAGAGTGAAGTGCACGCCGCGGCCGATGGCCAGCACGAGCAGCACGGCGGGCACGGCGGACAGCTTCACACCCAGCGCCGCCATCACGCCCAGCAGCTGCAGCACCAGCGTCGCCAGCGACAGCGTCACCAGCAGCGCCGCACACGCGTTCAATAACAGCACCATTACCACCTAAACAACAACAAGCATTAAATGAATAATGAAGAGAAACAATAATAATTCACTCTTAATATTATAAATGCAAAAGTTTAAATGGATGGATGTTTGTTAGAGTTTGTAGCATAAACAGCTGAACAATTTTCGATGAAATTTGACATTTGATAGGATAGTCTATAACACATAGACACACATGGAACAACACTATAGTGTTTTTTTTTAATAATTGCACAGGGTAAAATCGCGGGCGAAAGTTAGTATGTAATACACCAAACCTATTTGAACCATTTGGAGAATTAAGCCCTACAAGTAGCAAAGTAAAATTTGGTACGCTCAAGTTTTTTAAAAACTTATACTAAAATGAAATACAAATAAAATAATTGTCGAGTAGTTCAGAAACTCACCACAAACACAGCAGCCAATGCGCAAGCCAATGCCAGAAGCAGTGACGTCCGTAAATAAAGGTACTGCTCCCAAAACAGGAATGGTATCCCCGAAGGGAAGTTAGACAAGCCCTTCGCCTCAAACTTCAAACAAAGCTCTCTCACAGACATTATCAACGTTTTTATGCTATCCGTATCACTGAGGCCTGATAGATAAAACGGTAACTGTGTGTAAATCAACGGCGATGATTTCGGTATTTTCAAATCTACGTCAGAAGGAAAATGTGTCCATCTCTTCGGTTGTGGTTTCAAATTTGCTTGAGCAGCGCCGTAAGCTAACGCATCATTAGTAGCCCAAGCTGATAAATAATTGTAAAATGCTTTAGGATTTATTATACCATCTTTATCGACTAGTCTGTGACCATTTTTAGTATCTGTGCTTATAAGAGATTTATCGATAGGGTTGTCAACATGTCCGGTTTGTACCATCAATTTGTAAGCTAATATTCCTTCGTCGCTTGCATTTTTACACCAATATTCTTGTGTTATACAACCACTTGCGACATCCTTATCGAATGCCGCTTGTAGATCTAATAACCAATCCCGGAATAAACTTAGCCAGAATTTTGTAAGACCACCGTTGTCGTTTTTTATAATATTAGGGATCCGTACAAATTGGTCGTGGTATTCGTATAGTAATTTCTGATTGGTTGGATATTCGAAGTCTCCTTGTGTGACTGCATACATGTTGTAAAAGCCGAAATATTTCTCTTGACGCGATAGGAATTCGTGTTCGTCTGTATTTTCTGGGACTATATCTGTGAGGTCTAGACCGTCTTTAACCTTAGTTGCTCCCCATAGACTTGCTAATATTACTGCTATTAACGCCAGCATTGAGGTCACCTGGAAAAAAGAAATTTAACATTATTAAAAATACCGCCATGTGAAATTACAAAATTGTAAAAAAATAGTCAATGTTATTTAGCAATTTGTAGCTTTTTAATGGTGAAAGAATTTTTGAAATAATGGAACAAGTAATTGAGTTTTTTCGATACATACAAAAATACAAATCTTTTCTCTTTATAATATTTGTATAGATATACAAGTAAGTAGACACTGTAGAGAAAATGTTTAAAAGCCATATCGCATATGTGAAAAAATATTTTTAAATCTTTACCTTTACAGAAGGCCGCATGATGAAAGGGGCATAGTATTTTTTAGCCCATTTCGTAAGAGATAGACTGATGCAGCAAGTCTTAGCCTCATCTCCTGACACCTCGGGGTCCAAAGGCTGTCGAGTTGTATCCTTCCAGTTATCCTGTAAAAATACAAATTCAATTAGTATAGAATCTGAGAGAGGTCAAATTTTTCATGGAAACTTATTAATATATAAATAAAATCCGAATTCCATAAACATGCGAATGTTTAGATGGATGGATGGATGGATGGATGTTTGTTAGAGTTTGTAGCCTAAATTGCTGAACGGATCTTGATTATTATGGCATTTTGTTTTATTTTAATTATACGCGGACTGAATTGCGGGCGAAAGCTAGTACATAAATAAATGTTCACTCAAAAGTGTACGCAATACGGTAATTATTATGTAAGTTTACCTTGTCATTCTTTCCGGTGCGTGTGGAACGTTCTGGAAGTTTCCTAGTTCTGACGGGGGACTCCGGCATGAGGCAGCACAGCAGGTCAGCGCGCGCGGCCGAGCGCCGCCGCAGGTCCAGCGATATCATGGCGGGGAACACCAGCAGCATTGAAGCCAGGTTGAACATGAGCAGGATTGCAGCCTACAAATAAGGAAAACGGTGTGTTTTTTATTTTTCTTTTTTAAAACTATTGGCAAAACATATTATATCTATACTAATAAATGTTTATATTTTACTTTAGTAAACATACTTCTTTGTTATGTAGGGTGTCAGCAATCAGAATATATTTTTGAATAAACTTTTTTTTAAATAAAATGTTCGAAAGTTACGGCTCGTAATAGGAAATATATTTTCACGCTATATAATTTAAAGTGAATAATTTGGGAGGAAATCATAAACTGCAGAATCATACGAATAAAGCCGCACGTGAACAGTTAGTAGTATATTTTTCAAATATTCTACACAACACAAATCATTAATTACAATACAAAATTAATACAATTTTAGTGCTGCCATTACTTATGATGGTCTGAGCCTTCAAGTGTTTGAAACACTGTATACAAAAGATCTTTTTTCATCCATTTTTGTAACTAACCTGTAAACAGAAGACTCTCAAAGCCGGTATAGGAAGCAAAGCGGCCGCTAAGAACGCCATCACATTGCAAAGGGACGCTAACAGGACGCTAAGACCAGACTTCTTGAGCACGAGGCCGGTGCGCTCCTCCCGCGGCACGTCTCCCGCTTGCTCCACGTACGTATGAGTGAGAAGGAACATGTCCTGCACGCCCAACCCCAGCGCTAGGAACGGCACTATCTGAGTACTTGATGCGTTGAATGGTATACCTGGAAAAATATATAAAAATAAGCATATAATTGCATCTCAAAAATATATAAATATGCAAAAGTATATACTGTAATGACCATGTAGATGTTTATATTTGTAATATTCCTATTAACGAATAGCAAATATTCACATTTTATATATATTGAGTTAAGTCAGAAAAAGTAAAGTCAGTAAAGTCTGATTTCAAAAATTCTGATATCATTAAAAAGCTATGTTATTAGTAAGTAACATAGGCGTATTTTTTTAATTTCACGCGGGCACAGTTGCGAACAGCTAGTAGTAAATAAAAAATAAACTTATTAAAAAATACTGAATAGGCAAATAAGAAAAAAAGTAAATAAACATTAGAAATAATAGCATAAAAAAAAAAACAAAAAATGCAAATAAAAAAATAAATCACCTAATAAAGCACAAAAACCTAATCCCGCGGCAACAGTAATAGACAACAAGAGCACGCCCGCTATGCCCACGCCCGCCTGCGAGCGGATAGGGTCGCGCCACTGCATCAGCGTCACCGCCACGTATATAAGCTGCAACGACAAACAAATAAAAAATAAATATAAAAACAAAACCACAGACAAACGGAGAACCATCTTTTGGGAAGTTAATTATTAAAAAAAAAAAAACAAAGATTATAAATCGATTATCCTACACATTCGGTTACTTATTGCTACCCTACTTTAGTGTAGATTTAGGATGAAATCCTCATACAAGTACTTAGAGTCCTTTGTAAGCAATCACTCTGAGTGGTAGTAAAATGCTATAGTCAGAAAAGCTTTTGCGGTGTTTTTGTAAAACTAAAAGTAAAATTCAAACAACAAAAGAAGTAACGGAAACTAATAAATAAAAATAATTACCATAAACATATATCCCAATATGATGTTCTTGAGTGAAAGCTCGGAGAATTTTCCCAGAATGTCATTAAGAGTGGATGTGGAGAACGGATAGAAACTGTAAGCCGGAGACACCGATTCTGTTGCTGTCATTTTTCTTACTTCCTGCAATTAACATGAAAAAGCACTATAAACAAAATGTTTAAAATAAATTTACATTAGTTTAAAAGTAAGTACTTTCTTGAGTCGTTTAAACCAACATACTGTATTGTGATTTTCATTTAAATAATGTCTAATCTTACTAATATTATAAATTCGACATATTAGATGATTGAATGGATGTTGTTAGTTTGCCGCCTAAACGGCTGAACGGATTTCGATGGAATTTGACATAGATGTAGAGCATACTCTGGAAGAAGACATACGCTACTTTTGTTTTTTTAATTCCTCTTGCGAGAAAGCTAGTTTGAAGGTATTTTAAATATTGTCAACTTACGGCAGCAAACTTCCTCTGCCAGGCATCTAAGACAGCAGCCGCTTTCTCTTGCGTCCAGCCGATATGATGAACCTTGTAGTGATCTGTCCAATACTCGAACATCTCTCGTTCTCCCATCAGCTGCACCACACTCTGCAGTGCGCGGGCGCTGCGTAAAGCGCTCGTCGTGTTGCGTGTAGCTCCTCCCACTATTAGTTGTTCCGGCCAATGCATATACGCAGCCGCGAACCCGTAACAACCGTGGGATAGCTCTGCGGCCACGTCTGGTACCTACAGGAACAAATAGATTTGTAACCAAAAGTCTAGCATACTAAGTACACTACAGTTTTTTAATTTAGCATACATCGTAATCTATATTTCTTTATATATTATCTAGTTTTTTTTTTTTTTTCAGAAAAAAAACTTTTTTCCGCGAATTTTACCCATTATAATCGTCAACACAAACTGAAGCAAAATTCCACAAAACCTCAAATACAATTGTCGAAAACAGGTGGTGGTGGTACATCATAATTAAGACGAAAAATGCATTGATAACGCACAGAAATGAACAAAGGCGCAAGTAAAATTTACGAGTGTTACGTGGAACGGAGTTGTGTATCGGGTATTGATAATAGTGACATTGTACGTCGATAGCGGGGGCCCATTGAAGCGCGCACAATGCGCCCGTATAATGCGCGGCGGACAATGAGCGCCCGTTCCTTCGGCGAACGTGGGTGGCGATCGTTCGCTGCACAAAAACGCACCCTGCCCACTAAACTGCCATTCCAATGCGCTTTTTGTTTTTTTACCTTCAATACAAGTGATAAACGAGCACGCGGTTTACTTCATCTCTGAACATATTACATCAATCAGTCCACATTGTGTTGACAACCATGAAATCTGTCACTAGCATCATCCCCAGTTCTCTCAATTACCAAATCAATATTTGGATCACAATGTTTTCACAGATCGTAAGATAAGGATGGATAGACTGCGATGCATTATTAAAAAACTAGCTGTTGCTCGCGGCTTCGTTCGCGTGAAATTAAAAAAATATAAAAAACAAAGCCTATGTTACTCACAGACAAATTACCTTTCTAATGGTGATTGAATTTTAAAAATCGGTCCAGTAATTTTTAGGCGAATCGAATACATACAAAAATACAATTTTTTGCTCTTTATAATATTAGTGTAAATAAGAATAAAGCACCTCTTTTTATTGTTGCGAATGTAGTATGTAGCAAAAAAAAACGTTATATTCAGTAAATTACTAAATGCTAGACTTAGAAGATAACAATAAATACAATTGCTTTTAAGATTGCTTGATTGCCGTCCATAAAAGTGAACTTCTTAGTAAAACAATTGTTAGTAGAATAGAGTGGGCTTAATAAGTGGGTGTCGCGGTGTGTATTGTTAAGTTGTAGCAAGAGGCACTGAAGGCTAACTTTTGAGCGTTACTTTCTCGGCAGGTAGAAGCAGGTAGCCGTGGCCATCTGCCGGCAACCGCTTTTATCCCGCATTACCGTTTCCAAAAAATATTTCATCACAATGGAAAGTGTTTAAAGTTTATGCGCACATTTCAATAGTTATTTTGTCACGAAAGCCATATACTTTATGCGCACATAAAATCATCGTAACTCGGACTATACATAAAAACCAAATTAATAGTAATCCTCATGCGTGACAAATCATTGTTTCCGCTATAAAAATCTTAAATGTTTTTTAATACTTATAATAATAAAAGTAATAAGTAGTAATAATGTTAAATAAACATTATTTATACTAATAATATTAAGAGGTTAAATTTGTATTTTTGTATGTATTGAAATAACTTAAAAAGTACTGGGCCAGTAATAAATGAGTAACATAGGCTATACTTTTGACCGACTTCCCGAAAGAAGGAGGTACTCAATTAGTCTGTATGTTTTTTTTTATTGTCCTACAATTCCACGTGAACAAAGACGCGAGTAACAACTAGTGATATATAAAATCGAAATTAACGCAAGCACTTGAACGCATAAGTTAATAGGCATATGATAATTATTGTAGGTAATATGTATAATTACATGTCCGGATTTCTTGTTGGGCGCGGTGTTGGGGCAATGAGCGTCGGTGGGGTCGAGGCAGGGCTTCTTCATGTAGCCGGACGTGATGCCGGCCCGCTTCATGTAAGCCTCCATCGTGCTCAAAGGAAACTGGAATTTCAACTTTCTCACTTCTTCCAATACTTCTAAGGGGTTTAAGTGCGTCCATGTCAATCTTTGCTGCAAACCTCTGTAATCATACAAAACATTTATTAAAAAGAACCGTCTTTTCATTTATTGCCTAGATATATTCTAATCTGTTTTAAAGTAGGTACTGTTCTATGATTTTTTTATGTATAAATATTTCCTTGTACTTACGGAACTATAATAGGATATTCTGGTCCTAATAGCTTTGAGCCTTCCCAGAAGCAGTCTAGCGGCGTGATGATGGCGCAGGGTACGATGTTGTCGAATATCTTCTCTATATGGTAAGCCTCGAAATCCGGGATGCTGGGGCTGTAGCACAGGTCTTTCAGCCGCCACTCGATGTCGTACATGTGAATTGTGACCCGCGTCGCTGCCTGTACAACCTGCGTTTATACGAAAATCTTTAATTTGGGTAACACTTCATGTCAAATGAAATGTTTTGACTACACATCGTTACTTTTAACATTGTTTTTGAGATGCAACATCTCGTTTTTAGTATATTTTGATAACGACAAACCTTTTATAATATTTATCGATTGAGTTACAACGACCACTGCACCCAAAGCGATTTAATATAGACACGGGCATATTCGAGTCGTAAGAACAGGTGGGGTCTATATTGATCTTAATCTTAAAGTCACAAGACCCTAAAAGGCTTATGATACCCGTCAGGAATTTCGATGAGGAATATATTTGTCGACGGCCGTCCAGTGACTTAATACGTACGTTTTGTAATCACTCGTCAGCACAGAAATAAGATTTCACAACGCCTCGATGCGGGAATTTATTTTGGCATCGGAATGGGCTTTATTTATAGTGTCAGTATATATCAGAGACTCCGGCAAGATTAAATTTATGTGAGAAAATTAGAGAACCATGTTTAACAATTTAATATTTTTACTTTACCTATGACAATATGTGTGAGTAAGAATTTAGTACATACCTTTAGGTGTGCAAGCAAGGCGCCGACGTGCAGCAGCGAGACGTCGGGGTCTTTCGCAGTCTGTATGATTAGCTGGTGCGTTGAGGAGTCCGCTTCGCCTAACGCCTTCGCTGTGTACTTCAGCTCGGCCTCCAGTCTCCCACCCTCTGCACAAACGACAAACATCAGACAATAATCAAACGCTTATTGCATAAGGTCATCGACCCATGGCCTCACCGTCAGCCGCCCTTTCGAAAACATTACAAAATTATAAATCCTCCAGAGAACCTTTTAACATTTATTCCGCCAGTATCATTGATGATTTAACGTAGTGTGTTTAATGTCCATTTTTCCGTTCCTCATGTTTTATTATAGCATTTATCTTAATGTCGATTCATTTCCAAGTGTTTTTGTCGCGGTAATGTATAAGTAAAGGCGGATCGCCAACAGCGCCGGCCTTGCGGGGCTTACAAATTAGTGCGTAATGTGAAATGACGAGAAAAAAGGCCAAGTTTAATATTAATGAAAACGCAATTAAGTTCGCATCGAATTAGTTTCTTATTCTCGCGGTGGCTCGCGGCCCAGTGCGGTTCATTATAATAAATCGTCTGCTAATGTGATGCGATCTCGATGCGATGCGATGCGATAGTCGTCGTGAACTCAGACGTCTTAATTTACTCGTTTGTATGTTTTCACCTCGTCCGCTGATAATGATAATGTACAAGGTCTTATATTCAATAACATTTAATTTTATCCTACAATAATTTAATTAAAAGCCGTTTTATACAAGTTTTTATCTGTTCCCACTTCGGTTTCTCAGCGAGATCCCGTTTTCAACGTTTGAGAATGTATTACGTGGACTTGATTTAAAATAGTTTAAGACATAATCTTATGATGCGGAAACTTTACGGACAACTTACGTAAGTAAACAGTATAAGCTTAAGCTTGGAAAACATGTTATTTAGAGCGGAACGGTGCTGTTTGATTCCAACAAAAAATGTGTTCCAAACTTAGCCAATACGCGTTGACAGCACACATGGCTTATTCCTGAGTGTCGACACATTTGTCAGGGGAATGTAGAAGCAAGAAACTTCTTGACACATCTTATAGTGATTTATAGCGAAGCCGCGACAGCCCTACGCATAAGCAACCGTACACTTATAAAAACTCAGAAATAGATACAGGCAGCCAACAACATAATGCCATATTTATTTGTTTAACTTAAAAAAAGTCTTTACATTTCTTAATTTCGGATTATTAAAATCTAACTTTATAAATATTATTTCAGAATATTGCAAAGATGAGATAAGATATTTTTTTAAATGAATTGTATAAAAAAATAATGGAGTCGTTTAAAACGTCGGTCGAAAGTGTCCAACGGTGCCGGGCCACGGTTGTTAGCGTCGATTTTTTTTTGCTTTCAACGCAATATTTTTTCGCCTCGGCATCGGAGGTGAGATGTATTCATACGTTATCATCTCGTCGAGAGAATTCGTCCCAATTAACACTCGGCCTGTTGATTTATCGTGTTGTGTCGCTAGTTTTTTGCACTGTAGCTTCGCAAGTTAGAAACAAACCAACCGTTACGTATCGTTTAAATTATTAATTAAAGGTTGAGTTACACTCGATTTTATTTATCGCATATAAATTAATGTAAATTACTATTCTAATCGCACAAAATGACACTGGCAACTCGGAACGTTCAATTTAGTGTTATGCTAATGTTCACGCACCAATGAGCTCGGGTTGGATTTGAATTAAACCTACATAAATAAATTGCACCCGCCTTACTGTTGCAATCACTAGATACACTGACCTCTATAAATGGACAGGCTGTGGTATTGTGTCTATTTAGTTTTTCGCTTTTTGGCTCTGATAGGTGAGGTTAATCACGGTGAAGAGTTTTCGGACTTCAATAAGCGCGTTAGTCGGACCGAAGAAAAACTGTCATTTCAAAACAATGTCCTATCTATTTATCTATGTCTATGATAAATTTGTTCGTGCATTTGTTTATGATGTTTAACGTCGAAATTGTATTTCAACTACCGGAATGAGTATAGTTACTAGAACAGTTATAAAAATGTGTTGCAATGAATCTTAAAGAGACGTATAACATAACTTTAAAAATAAAACAAACTCGAATTGCAAAGTTCTATTTAAGAACTTACGTTCCTCATGATCCCTTATTTTTATTTAGTGGTTCGAATGTTCTAGAATGTTGTGTAAATGTCATGCGAGTGCAAGTGTAGTGCAGCCGAGCAGGGAAGGCAGTTAACGCCCTCGTTCGACGCTCACGAGGAATGCTATTTATTTTGGTCGCTAATTTATAGCGGGACGGTCCGGAGTCAGCGACACGACCCGTCAACACTAAATCTTTAAACTCCTCATACTCTCTGATACTATTCAATTGTTAATGAATATCGAATGTAACTTTGTTCAATCAGAACTTTAAAATTTTCGCTAAAAACTAAAGTGAAACGTTGACAAAATTATCGAGCATAAAAAACCGACATCTGAATTACACAGCAGTTATAAAAATCTCAAGCCTGCTCGTAGTCAGTCTTTATTGCAACGTATAACTGACAGTAAAGCTGTAATCGTGTGGTCGAGCCTTGATAGTTATCGTATCTCACTTCCGATTAAAAGTAATAAAACTCCGCCTAGACCACCCAACCGCAATCATGACTCAATAAATGTAGGTAAATTTTTTTAAAGAGCAAACTTAACAATGGTAAATCAATTTGTTAGATATTAACTGAATGTCATCGAGTATTTAGAGTGTCGGTAAGAAGACAATGATCCACTTGACTCGCCGCCTGTCCACAGATTGTCCCAATGCTAATGCAAGCGTGATTTCGCTGAACACTTTGTATGCAAATGAGTTAATAAGCATTAAATATAAAAAGGTCCCGAAAAAAAAAACGTGATTGACGTGCTAAGACGTTTCTTTTTTTATTCGCGGCACCCAGTATTAAATATGAGTAACGATTTATTATTCTGAACTACCTTGTGGTTTATGATAAGCATGAAAACGAGTAGAGTTAAATCATCAACATCGATTTATATAATTGTCTTTGTCTTCTTATTATACCGAATAAAAAAAATTCTCTATGATTTCACAGTATACTTAGGCATCAAACATTGTAAAGTTTGGGGCCAGGCGAATCACGGTCTAAAAGAAATAACGGCTTCTTTTGTTTCTCCTACACTTCCGAGTAATTCATTTTTAGTCCTTCAGAGATGAATGTTGCGACCTTAAGGTTAGGTTAATATTAAAATAGCGTCGCCCTGTGCGGGCTAGAGTTCGATGCCATTCCACTTACTTTATGATAATCCCTAATATCCGGCCCCAGTGCATGTTAGCTATGTTTAGCTTCGACACGAACATACTTTCCTTTCTAACTACTTGAAATACTTCGATAGTGAAGATTAGTTTACTACATCGTGTAAAAAATAAAATATAGCTTTGGCAAAAGCTTCTGTAAAATGTCTTTAAACAATTTATTTAGAAATTAAAATAAAGAAAAGGACTTACATCCCTAGGTCATTGCATTTATATATAAAAATTTTAAACATCACAGTGTAGATATTCTATGATGTATAGTAAAAAAACGTGCGCGGGCGGCGCGGCGTGTATCGGAACGTAGCAAGGTCACGCGAGGTTATCGTAGCGTACGCGCGAAGCTTTCACACTCGGCGCGCCATGCCGGCCGGCCACGCTGCGCCGCACCGCGCACCCAGCTTTTGTTTATCCTTTTCCCAACATTTGTATGGAAACTTGCAACCCATCGTTCCGCTCGTTCGTTAAAAAAAGAACTCGCAACAATATAAGAATTTATTCAATACATTGAATCCGATAAACATTTCGCTAAGTATGTACTAGGAAATATACGATATAATTAAAAACTTAGTAGATATATGAAAAACGTACAGTAAACAGAGATCTACCAGGAATCGATTCAAATCGCATTGCGGCTTAGATCCAGTAAATCGAAATGAACGTGGTCGGTCGATAGTTAGGCGAGCTTTTATTGCATTTCCAGTGCGTGCGCGGCGGTAATGACGACATTTGGATTGGAGTGGATGCGGTAGCGGCCGATCGGCGCGGACGATCGCAATGAATGACGTTATAGGAGGGAAGCGGGGTGAAGGGCGGGGTGCGGGGAGAGGCGAGGGAGAGGATCGTGCGCGCGCATGTGGTTGTGGCCACCCGCGCGCGCAGCGCCGAGCCCGTGTGGTCCGAGCGCTGCCCCCGCCTCCCCCGCCGCAACCCGCGACGACCCGCAGAGCCCTCTATGCAAATTAGCCCGCGTAGACAACAGATGGATGGCGGAATAAACAAACCGCGCGTCCCTTGCGTACCCGCGCCGCCGATTCACGTTCGACTTTCGACGTGAGGGACTGGCAGGAAGAACTACCCCATTATACAAACGACCTAAATGTATAATTACGAATCTAGTATGATGTAATACATTAAAGTTGGTTTCTGATATGAAACAAAATTTAAAATCCGAAATAACAACATAGTTATAAAATATCGGTCATGGTCACTAAATCAACGCCCAACAAAGTCCGGTTTGTAAACAAAAATGAAATGTAGTGATCACGCGTGCAAGTCATTAACTTCTACAACGAAACAAATACCACATCACACCTACACACTGAGGTTTTTACAAGCGACTAAAACTTTTCCTATTTTAGTAAAACTTGTTGTAAACGTCTTAAAACGTAAGCGTTTTCATTTTACTAACAGCAAATATTGCAAGTGCTTACCTAAACGAGATGACTAAATATATTTCTTCAAATCAAGTAATGAAATCGATACGAATACTTTTCTGTGGCTTTATTTTGCACCAATAAATGTTACCCACCAAAATTGAAATCCGACGTTATTTCCATGTTCTTAGGGTTGAAAATCTTTTCGGGATTTAGAAAAGTTTGTCCAGGCAGAGTTAAATTTGGGACCGAAAGTGGCACACGAGGCACAGTTGGATGTGGCGATACAAAGGCAAGCCGGACAATCAAATCCCTCGTCTTTTTTGTGAGTCAATAGATGTGTTATACATTTTTTACTTTTATTGGTCGTAATTTCACGTGGGGATATTTACGGGCGGCCGTGGGCCACCTAATTAAGTTGTTAGACGACTCTGGGACCTTCGGCATTGTTTAACAGCGGCGGCTTTAGTTCCTCGATAAGATTTTTGGAGTTGATTATAAAACATATTTGTATTATTTGGACAGTAGCAGAGATTTGAATATACGAGTAGATGTTTATGATTAAAAACTCGTTTGATAAATCGATATTTGTGACAATCGACGATCGTTTTACGTTTAAAATTAGAATCGGAATGTCGAAAAAAATACTCGAATCGGTCGCGAATTTTGAGTGGCCGGAAAAGACGACAGGTGCATCAGTAAACGAGACCATAATTAACATATTTTATCTTTTTAATCGATAATACTAAAACATTCCAATACCTTGGTTACCTTGGTTAATTATACGAAACAATGAATATTATCTACAGTTTGTACTGACATATGACATGAATTATAGGTCACTTTACTTGTCCTTTCATATTGTTTTGTAATTTTTTTTTTTAGATAAACAACCCTAAAACACAAATATGCATATTTAAAACGAAACGTTCACTTGTAGTTATATTTATCTTTTATTTGTTTGTACGATATTTTTCTTTATCTGTATTCATTAACTTCTTTCGACCACCCAAATGGCAAAGGGACGAGGAATAATAAAAAGATGAACAGTTATGACTTTGTTTCATTTCCTGTTAACTGAAATACTTAAGATTTTTCTTATAATAAAATAGTAGTTTTATATAAATAAAGATGAATATTAATGGATGTAATTTTGGTATAATCTTGTCTTTTAAAGATTTTTATATAACATTTTTTAACTGCATACATTTTAAAACGATGTATTTGTGAAATAGACCAGAGTTTAGAGACGGACGTGCCCGCATAGGACATCCTCTCTTAACATTTAGAGTTCCGGTATAAATTTTATACGTGGAAATGTGCGAACCATTCCAGTTATCCGTTAGTAACAATAATTTCTCCCGGTATTTCAGTAAGAGACCAGGTAGCAATTGTACCGTATGCTATATTAAAAATAAAAAAATCCTTTCAAGGTATGATAAAAAAAATTTAGATATCAATATTCTTTTGTGTGTTGTAATAAAAAAAATAATTAAATACAATACAACAAATGTAAATGATACTGTGCGTAACAATATTACTACAAGTATTATATTAATATAAGTTAGCTTTTATAACAAAACTAGCTGTTCCTGTGCGACTCCGTCCGCATATAATTATGAAAATTTTATTTTACTGTTTACATTTGTCAAATTATCAATTGCAAATGTCAAAATGACATGACATGATGACAAAGCATGGCAACATTGCTTCTTTAATGTTGGCAGCAACTTATGGTCTCTTTCCCACATTAGAGGCTTTTATCCAAAACATTTACCCCCTAAGTTAAATGGCGAGAAAATATGTAGCCTTAAGCGTGACGAAGTGTAGGACTTTTTATTAATAAAGAATGATTTAAAAATATGCTGTCATTTCTGACATCTTAGGCAACATAGAAGTGTGCTTTATTATATTAGTATAGAAGTATAGATTGAATAGATAAATTGCAATTTAATACGTCTAAGATATACATGTATTTATATATTTGTTTAAATATATCGATTTCATAAAATAAAATAGGTACAGGCGAAGAAACTCGCCAAGACAGGTCATTAAATGAATAATATAAATGCACTAATGCTTTTTATTACCGAAAACGGTCACAGGGCTGTGTTATTTGTCCGTCTGTTATTATTTACGATTCAATCGAAGGCCGGTTAGATAACGCGTGCATTTCGTATCGCATGTCGGAATCGGCTATCGGATTGAGCAATTTTACGATTCGACCACCCGGCGGCATCAACCGGCGACCGGTGATAAATATCATAAATTGGACCGAAAAACGAGCAAATGTGCAGCTATTTCGCGGACATTCGGCAGGAATGATGCGATATATCGATAAATGCAAGGGTCCATGCAACAAAGTTACAATGACAACGTGCTCTGATGGATCGTTCCGTAACTTTTATTTATACCGTTCTTACAACACGCTCCTCTTATAAGATTTATATGCAAATTAGTTTTTTAATGTGAAATATTAACTGTATCATTGCTAGTTTATTTGTTTAAAGATTTCATTTATTTATATTTGATACTAGTTTTCGTCTGTGTAGAAATAAAAAAGCGAGTAGCCTATGTATTCTTCCAGATTATCTTCTACATCTATACCAAATTGTATTGAAATCCATTCAGCCGTTTAGGCTACAAACTCTAACAAACATCCATCCATCTAAACTTTCGCGTTTATATTATTAGTAAGTATTAGTATTAAGTATGATTTTATTGCAGGAAGTATTTTTTCGCTAATTTAATCAAAACTCACAATTAACAATCGGTTACTAAAACATTGAGGTATTAACATGTATCAGAACAAAATAATAGAAAATAACAATAACAAACGCATAAAATATGTTATTCAACATTAAAATGGTAGGAACAATCACGATAATCAAACGGTTGGGTGGCCGACTACCTAATTTGTAGACATGAGCCGTATTTGGCACACCAATACCTTATTTGAAGTATTCGTATGATGAATATTGACTTGAACTAAAAGGTGAAGTCTTGAAGTTGTTTTGAAAGAGCTCTAGTAAATTAAAATGTTTTTATTTGTATTACTTACAAACGTTTACGCAATTTACCGCATAAATAAAAAAGATAGCATTGTTTAATTAACAAGTTCGTCATTCATAAATAAATATTTGTACAAAACATCATATACTTTACATTTTTAAATCATTACATAGTAACTGATTGTTTTTTTATAACGTCCATTTCACTGGCTAAGACATCCTATTTATAATATTTAATAGTTATAAATTTAAAAATGTATACAAATCACTCTATTTCATACAAAATCAACAATAATAATACAATATATTAATGTAATTAGCATTGAAATAACCCACATCCTGTTTGTCAAAGGGACCGTCGCGACGTTGGTCACGTACCGCATATAAAATTGCTTCTGTCAACAATTATCCTATACCTGCTATGTTTTATTAATACGCGATGCAATAGCTAATTTGAAAGACAATGCGTCGATCGCACGCACCGGACGCTTGTAGGTGCAACCGACGAATTAGGATTCGCCATGTATCGTTTGAGGGCTCTAATACACCGCGGCGCGCTGTGTAGTCCGAACAGCATTCAACTCACGTGCCCACAAACGGAAGCGGCGAGCCTTCATACGTGCCCATCGGACCCGGATTGATATTCCACTAGATGAGCAAAGTGACAGTCTGCTATCACGATGAGAGATTGTATGTGCAAGATAACGCAGTTTATGGTTTCGTTCTAGATTTTCCAACTTGACAATGCGTAACACGTACCTTGTACCCAGAGTTGATCGACCCTGGAGTGTATCTGTGCGGACTTGAGGCCCACACAGAACGTGGACAACACGAGGATGGCGACGAAAAGGACCTTCCCAGCGTCGCCTTGGAGAAAGCAGCCGAGGATGAACAGCTGTTCCTGCAGCCACGCTCTTATCCACAGTGACGTGCGCCCACCTTCGATGTTGCCCTGTTGTATACAAAAATCATAAAATAAATACATTTAATTTATAGATACATTGTAATGTAATTAGAAACCATATATTGTTAGAAGACCTTGAAACGGGAGCTTATCTTACATCAGTGAATATTTACAGCTTCAGCTTCCCCTAACTTTGTCGGTGTAATAACATCGTGTGCGTTTTGAACGTCGCTATAATTTCTCAGTTGATTGTGATTAATGAGGGGCGCGGGCTGACGCGGGCTGGCGCCGGCCGGCTCAGCCGCAAGATTATCTATCTACCAATCGTGTATACAACTTACACAGGCACGGAAACCTCGCCGCGGTAAACATGGATATTGTTCAAAGCGTCAAAAGAAAACGAAGGCTATTCTAGTAATCGTAAGCTTAATATTGATAGTACATATAGTATTACAAATAGAACACTGTAATAGTAAATTGTTATATGCATTTACAAAACTTATAAAATAAATGAACATTTGCAAAATAACCATATCAAGTGATTTAAGACCGTGAATATTAACGTTTTTATTGGCTATAGTCGTATCGTCGAATAATTCAGTAAAACAGAAACTCGTTTAGAAAAAACAGTTATTAACGAATTAAATTATGTACTTACTTTACAAAACAAGAAGCGAAAGATACATCCAGAATATCTGGTTATTGAAGTAATTATTGAGTTACGTCCAAAATTTAAAAATTCTCTTCGTTCAGAAAACCATCGAAACAGATGTTCTTATTCTGACTTTAATTAAGTGTACATATCTACTATTTAAGCTTTAAAATTAAACTATAATTAAAAGATTTTTATTTATATCTACGGAAATCTATATTCCCAATTTCAAAGTAAAGCATAGTTTTTATTAAATATATTTTGTTCGGGAAACAAATACATGTAAACTATCAAACAGACTCTAATTCAAATATTGGAGTTTCATTTTATAATTGCCCAAAATCTAGGTCTTGCATACAACCAACACAAGGCGCATTTTTTTTAAACAAAATGTAACATTGGTTCAAAACAATTCCCAAAATCCAATGCAAAAATGTACGAGATACAAAAAAAGTGAAAAACAATCGACCGCTGTTACATAATGTAGGCGGTGGGGGGTATGGGGCAGGGGGGAGACGGAGATGAGTCTCGGGTACACGTGAAGCGCCTACTAATTGCAGAATAATAACTCAATCGAGGCAGAGGCATCGCTTCGACATTACTCTGTAGTATTATAAAACGTTGCATCTCCACAACGACTTTTAATACTACTCGTACGTCTGTGCGCGTAACACAATTTTTAATACAGATAATAATAACATTCAAGTTATTTATAAAATAATATCTTATCTCGTCTGAATGTGAAATAGGTAATACTTTGTAGTCGTCGATTATTGAACTTTTGTAGGTTACATGCACCTACAAGTGACAATAAAATGTTCATCATAACGATATAACAAAATTGTAAATAAATGTAGATAACACAGCCTTTAAACACTTAATTTTTAGTATCAAATAATCTTTATAGTATCTAACAGCTTTAAAAACATGGTGGAATCGAACTTTATGTAAATAGTTAATTGCCATTATGCTAATTTTTGTAACCGTAGCGGTATATTCTGCTGTTCCACTGCACTTTCTTTTAAAAAATGTCGATGAAGACTTATTTTAAATTTGGAACCACGCTTTAAATTTTAAAAAACGATATTCATTTTTTATAGCCTGCCAGCAAAATAATTCAATCCAGAGTTTAATATTAACGTGTAATTAAACACAAGTGCCCTAAACAAACGTCTACATCCGAAATCGAATCCCCGGAGCTTAGAGCATAAATAAATAAATCGAAGCAAGACTATAATGGCAGATATAGCTCGGGAGCGTACGTTTCAGTTCGGGTGCACCGAATACCGCGCTGGGTGGCCGTGACGTCACGGACGGAATGCGCCCCCGCCTCCCCCGCGACCCCGCACCCGCGCCTCGCTCGGCCTCTTGCCCTCTCCACGTGGTTATACAACCGTACTCCAGCACGGTACACTGCTGTATTCTTCATTCATACCAACTAAATATAGTCAACGTTGTAAATATTTGACCGTAACCCGTGTTAAAATATATTTAGATAACTTTTATAATAAAACACTAGATAGATAACTCATGTCTTAGACGCGTAGAATGAATACAAATTTTCTAATAATTATTGCATCGATTTAAAAAACGAGAAAACACTCTTGTTTGATCAAGAATTCTCGCCTAAAATTCTTATAAACGGGTAGTCAGAGTTCAACGGAAAGCACCGTTACTTGCTATTTTACCTACCAACAGCATCCAGCTGTGAATGAGTACATCAGAATAAAATCTTAAAATTTAATTGTGGATACCATCAATCTTCGTTTCTATAGAGTTAAAAAATTACGAAATCCTGAAGATATTGTGCGAATTTCTGATCAATCTCATAAGTAATGTAGAGCATTTAGAACAAACGACAAAACACTACTCAAAACCTGTTTCCAAAAAGACAAGCGTGTCTTAATTAAATCTGTCTGATAAAGCGACTATAGATCACGTACGTTGGTACTGGCTACTGGTCACCGCACGCCATGACGCAAGTGTCACGGTATTAAGTTCGTATAATCCGCAACGCTAGCGCCGCCACTTCCTGCGATAACGCGCCCGCAGACTTATACCTGGCGCCTAAATCTTATAACCTCCTACGTTAGGAACTCATTTTAAAAATGTTAACGATTTATTCCCAACCGTTTTTCCAGTTATCTTATTTGCAATCGGAACGGTAGGGATTTTTAACGATGTTTACTTTAATTTTAAAATTAACATTTGATGTTATTCCAAAGCGGTTTTTTCGGTTTATTTTCTATCGAGCGAACGCATATATCACTTACTTCGTCTTGGTTTTTACTTTATTTTCATACGTACTTATAAAATTATAAAAGTAGGCAACAATAATAATCCTGTGTTTTAAAATTAAGATGGGTTCATTTTTATCAATGTATTCTGACTTCAGATTCCCATTTAAATTATTGAGATGGTGACAGCTGTTTCCTTTGGGTATTCAATTTATAACGTAAAATCCAATTAGCTACGAAGTTATACACACTACATTTCGGGATTATGTAAACACATATCTTTATCGTGTGACAGGAAATTGTAGATAAATTTAGAAATAGTAGCGGCGGCCGGACTCGAGCGACTTTGTCTTTTATCGAGGGGTCACGCCCGGTATAATTATCACGTATTGATTGCCTCGTAATGAGCTACGAAATCGTTTCTGTTATTGTGGCGGACGGCCGACAATCAAACGCGTGGGGCGTACTCGTTGATATGGCAAACGAGAACGACCAACTTAGATTATGGTGGACTTGGCAACAGAATAAAATAACATTCATGGATAGTATTCTTTAATTGACTGCAACTATCTTACTAATATTAAAATGCGAAAGTCTAGATGGATGTTTGTAAGAATTTGTAGCCTAAAGGGATGAACGAATCTAGATGAAATTTGGCATAGATAAAGAGTATAGTCTGGAAGAACACATGGGCTACGTGCTTTTGTTTTTTTATACCACTCAGACACAGTCGCGGGCGAAAGCTAGTTATAGAATAAAATATGACAAAATATGTTTTGAGTGTGGAGGGGTACATTGGTAGAGGTGCTTAGAAAGAGATGGATTTCGAGAACGAGAAAACACGATCCAGAACTGAAATAATGGAAGACACATTAACCTGGAGGACTAAGTATTGGTTCTTCCTACGGGAGTAGGATAAGGACGGCGAGATGAACCATAATAGAGAAAATCTACTGAACAAAACTTTCTAGTAAAGCAAACATAGCTAACAATGTCCTGTTATGTAGTACTCTGAATGTTTTTCATGCCATGTTATTTTCAGATCAATTTGTAGGTAAGTATTGTTGTTATTTAAACATTGGGTTTGCTTGTTTCGTATGACTATCGGTATGAGGGACACGAGCACGACTTGGTGCGGGATATCTGCATATAATGGACCGTGGGTGTGGGATTATTATCCGAACGCTGTACTGAGCGGGCATCACTCGCCCCACCTATTACTAGCCAAGAATGTTTCGCTTTACACATTTAGTATTTACATTTCACGACAGAGGTTTGCGATTCAATTACTTGATAACAGATGCGATAGAAATGTTAATGCATACTCAACTGGTCAGTTATTTCATGTTTTTTTTTTTTAATTTATTACTTTGTTGTTGTGCAAAACTAACTTATGGACGCTTGAAAAAAAAACTAGTTTCATATACACAATATGTATGACTACGTTTATACTAATTAATATCAGTATTTTAAAAATAAAGTGATGCAATGCACTGTTTGTGCTTAACATACTCGTATATAGTATAGCAAAGATGAGATAATCGTAATAAAGAAAAAAATACGTTCCCATGATATTTTATTAACTCGATAACGTGTTTATTTAATCGATTTCAAATAATTAAAAATGATTCTCTTAACAAAACATTACAGTTTTACTTAGATCTTATCAAATTTTAAGATTACGTAAAAAAAAATAAACGACATTCAGAAGCGGAAAATAATTTATAAACTTAAAGAAAGTTGGCATGTTAGGCGCTAACACGAAACCGGTCGGAGCGGCCATATGATAGCTTTATCGCTAACGTTCTAGGTTACTAGCATTTTAAAGTGATAAACACATCTTTGGTCGAGAAGTGGCGACACATGGAGTTATTCTTAACCGTCACCCCGCTCTGTCCCCATGTCCGAATAAAAAGTTTCATCTGTCTCACCTTTTAGTCTCACCATCACCAATAAGGTGACAGATGGAACCGTTATGAAATAAAATAAGTTCCAACCGTCCCAATGTCGCAAGAGGTGGGACGGATAAAACTTTATATTCTTATCTGTCTCCACGTTGGGACAGTGCGGGGTGACGGTTGGGAATAATCCGACACATGGTGTCTTCTTTTGGTCAGAAGCAATCGTTTGGAAGGAAAGCTTAGTGGCGGGGAAAAATAACCGAATGCCCATTGATGCGTGTACTTGCCACGCGTTGCGGTGCTCACCGGCTCAGTAAATCACTAGCGCAATCTGATATCTCTGTTTGAAATAGTCTATGGTTACAAATGCCACTCATTTATTTAAAAACATCAGAAAAGATACATAAATAAATCAATTTACATAACAATTAGAAACCATTTTATAACTAGAAACTTGCGTAAACTTAGAGACAAAACATTATAATGCACTTTCAAGGAACAGTTTTCAAAAATCGTGGGTGTAGTAACAATCGTTTATAGGTCTCCAGCGCAGCTGCCGACCGCCACCGCGCTCATTGTTTGGAAGAAGATGCACTATACGTGGGAAAAACGTGTTGGAAAGAGACGGAAAAATATACCTTAAAGAGAAGGAAAGCATCTGTGCTTTGATCGGGAAGAAAAGAGACGAGTGATCGGAAACCACAAGATGTCTCAATTCCAAGAGGCAAGTTCTGTGAGGTCTTTAAGATTTATGAATCGATTAGATAGGAATTTGTAAAAAAATGTTTTTTGAAAAATTAATAAAAACAAACAAAGCTTGTAAAGTACTGTTTTAGTGACATAAATGTAGTTTTTAAAGTATCAAATTTATTCGAATTTTTATTTCAGACGGAAAGTTTTTATTAAAATTCGTAAATTTATTTAAAACTATTACTTTTCTTACTGAATCAAGTTATGCGTTTACTTTCCATTTTTTAAGACTACAGTAGTAAAAACTTCAGAAGAAGAACGTAAATATTTTTGATACAGAACGCAACATTTACATTAAAAAAATCTAACTTTATTTTTGCGTTTTAAATATTGTTTCCTGGTCTAATAGAGTTTATAGTCTGCTTTCCACGTTGATGTCTCTATCGGCGCCGGTGCGGTGCGCGTGCGCGGCCTCTCGATCCCTCGACTCCTCCGGCCCTTAATTGCTTCATCTTGCATACGTCCGTCCCAACTACAAACTTCCTACTATTTTATTTTTATAGCTGTTTTTGCCACTATTAAAAAGTAATAAACTATATTTTCAAGTCAAGAAAATCTTAAGTTTGAAAATATAATTTCATATTAGTGAGAACTTTTACTGCGACATATAATTTTTAAAGAAGGTAATCTCGTAGGAGGTTTATAAATCGTTATCGTATAAGTAAGGATTAAATCAACGGATTTTAAATACTTTTTACGTCGTTTAAAGGCGGGAACCTTTTGCGCAGCTTCCTAGTAAGGGTGCGGACCACCGTGGGGCGTGCGTGCGGCCTTCTAGGAAAGACCTACCTTCCCGGAACCCGACTGCCATTTTTGTATGTACTACTTCATTTGCTATACATCCTTGTGATATAATTACTCTATCTAATACTGTTCCATGATTATGTGAAATGAAGAACGTAATGTTATTGGTCTGCACTTTTTTTTTAATTAAAAATTAAGTTACTTGTTTCATTATTAAATTTACATTGTTTTTGAAGTAACATAGGCTAAGATAAACTTTTTGCAATTTTGCCCTGCTTACTTTTTTTGCTATAAGGTTTTCTTAGATTTATGTTTACCAAAAAACAATCGCTTAAAAGTAAAGAGTAAAGAATATAACATGCATAATTCTGTTACTAACAGATAAAAATACGGGCATCTTTCGGTTATAAATAAACGAGGGAGTAAACTTTCTTGCGTCTTAGTAGTACGCACCGTGACCACTAGTCGGCGCCACAGATCCCGCTGCCGCGTTCCGGATTGCAATTGACATTCGCAGAAAAACAATCACACGTGCATTATGACAATCGTTATTTGACACTAGTGTACTGTGTATCGTATCAAGTGATTACTGCACCTTTTCAAGCTCGGAGAGTGCTAATGCTGCATCCACCCAGCTGGTTCTAATGTAAAGATCGGCGCTGTGGCGCGCCTCGGCGGCGGAAGGGCTCTCGTGTGTAGCGGCAGCTATCCGAGGATTCGAAGGAGCCTCGGAATCGGGAGCCACCATGATCTCGGGGCCAGACTTGTCACCAGTATCCTCATGAAGACGGCCGGTATCCGTCTGGCGGCGCACGCTGTCATATCACTCGCCGCCACATAACCACACACTAGTACACCTTTATCCTTCACTTCTTTTCAGCACTAAACCATTCGAAACGCGGAACGGTACCGAGTTTCGATATTGCAGTAACACCCCGGCAACGTGTCTGCACTGACGCGACTCGAGCGACACTGAATCAAACACTGACCGCTCAGATACACTGAATGTTTGTTGAGCTGCCATCATGATTCGGTCGATTATGTTGCCGTTCTGGGGCGCGGAGTCAGCCGAGCAACGTCGGAAACGGCCGACGGTTCGCTCGGAGGACCACACACGTTATGTTGCCATCTCGCTCTAATGTTGAGAGGAGGGAAGGCGGCGCGGTAAAATAAAAACATTGAATGAAACAGCTCGCAATGATTGCCACCGGTTACATATGGGTTACGCATCGCCTTGACAAATCGTTGTAAATTGTCAGAACGCAGTAAAAATACAAACACACAGTACGTAAGTATATTAAATGTTCCTGCAATGTTGTCCGAGAAGCCATTCGCGAGCCTGATAAAGTTTAAGTAGGCAGTATTTTAAGACTACTCGAAGCTGTGTTTGGTCGTGAACTTAAAGTTATTACATCCGCACAATTACCACAAAGAGAGGCCGTTTACTAGTTAAACATTATCTCTGTATACAGATAATAAAGGCGGATCAAACATTCGGACGCGCCGTATCATTTTGTTTACAGAGTTTTCTGAGTAAAAACTCGAACGAAAGCGCCCCCGGCGGGGCGGCGAGCGGGCTCTTTGAAGTTACCGACATTAAAAGCCGCCGGCGGTGATTTAACTAATGAATTTATTTAGCGGGCGTGCCGAGAGACTGCCGCCAAGTCCTTAACAACTACACAAAATATACGCCTATGAAAAATTTAACTCCGCGGCCGCAGGATCGAGAGATGCTGCTCATTTGTTAACATTCAACGGATGCATCCAAACAAATGACAATTTCAAGTAAATTACTAGTAATATCTCCACAAAACACCTCTACGTAATAAAGCTGTTAGAAAATTATATTAAGGTTATTAGCTATAACAAAAAAAATTAACCAAATGTTACTTAAATAACATAAATACATTTCATTTTAATATTTTTATAAAACACATTAGTACAAAAGAAGTTCTTAATGTTCATGACATCAGGTATGTTGGTGCTATGCAGTTTCACAGTAACTCCTTGATAAGTCATTTTAACAATGGTATCGCTAAGACCTTATTTGGAACAATCTTACAATGGATTAGTTTGTCGAACGACACTCGACGACAACTTCATTTCACAGAGTAACCTTCCAAGAAGTCTTGGAGGTGTAAACGATTCTATTGAATTCGATTTTTATATCCAAAAAAGTCAATACTTTGGATAGATCTATCTCATGATATTAGGCACCGCAAATATCCTCTGACAACTGTATTAGCACACAAGATAAATTGAATCTTACTATCTACATTTTAGGGTGTAAAGTTCAAAATCCTTGTCACAGTCACGGTATGCATCCAGGGTGGTTTTAGTAAGACATATTGACACTTCGGTCGAAAACTCAGCGGGGATCCCTTCTATAGATGTTCTACGAACGCCGTGTGGGATATACCTGATTGAGACCACAAAGGTACGTTTCAATTATAAATTATAGACATTAATGTATCGAATAGGTGTTTTAGTGTCGGTAAACCGAAGAAATCACCGCTTTGAATTAAACTTCGGAATCCATCTTTATTGATATCTATTACCTATGGTTTACGTTTTTCATTTTTTTATATAAAAATATTAGTAGATTTTTGTTAATTTACTAATGTTTCCTTTAACCATTCCAACTAAGCTCTAGGCTTGTGCTAGGATATGGTACATGACAATAGTCGAATGGCGGGATTCGAATCCCTCGACCGAAAGATAGGTAGTCCGTACCCTCAAATCATTAAGCTATTGGCTATTTGATTTAAATGTAATGAAATTATTCTTCAGACATGATTGTATTGTAATTTCTTTTAATTGTGATTATCTGACCGTACCAAGCTTCGCCAGGGTGAATTTTAACATGGCACGCGTGAAGACGCGTTACTTGAAGCTTTCTAATGATGAATGTGTGTAATATATGCCAAAATTTAGCTAACAAACTCTCACCCTTTACACTAATTTTGTTAAGAACTAACAGGCACTAGTTAGACTTCATTTAACCCACTAAAAATCAATCATAGTTAAGTAATTTTGAATTTGTCTTTAATATATACAAGACGGACGTTAGGTTTGAATGTGGAGGCGTACACCGGTAGAGGTAGACCTAGAAAGAGACGGATGGATGAAAGGTGAAATTATCAAGAAGGGAGTGATGACTGAGATGACGGATGATAGAGTGCTTTGAGATGATTTGGAGGACGAAAACCCGGTGCGCCGACCCTACGTGAGTAGGATAAGGCAGGGGAGATGATGATGATGATAAAAGTGACTTCTATCAATGAGCCTTTAGTTTTAGTTACTAATATAAGTTTTCAAGTCAAACAACATTTATTAAATTAAACATATCTATGTTTAATTTAATAAACGTTGATTAAATACGTATTTTGTTTTTGAAAGGTGCGATGAAAGGCGATTAAAATGAACCCAAGACTTTACTTACTTTGGCGGCTGACCACTGCGCTAAGAGTTTGTCCATTGTCAGTGTCGTTCTTCTAATTTATGTGTTAATAAAACTGAATACGTTGTACGGAGAATTTTTAATTTGATTTGATGACCATTTGTTGATGCGGTTAGTAGGTATTAACATTTTTGGTGCTAAATTTGATTCCCGTTTTAATAAATTCGTACAATACATTATTCATCGCGTGTTGACAATTTTTAGGTTTGGTATTGTATCCGAAAAGGTTCAGTTAGAATTAATAAGTTATTGTTTTTGCAACACGTGAATTATTAAAAGTGTTGTTAATAAAACTACTGTGACATTGATTTACAACTGTTTAGTCTCGTTTGATTCCTGTGCGCACACTACTCGATTTTTAGTTGTGAAACTGAGCAGTTGAATTGGCTGCGAAACAATCGACAATCGAACAAAGTCGTGCGATATTTTAGTCAAAGATGTGCGCCGACTCTTATTGTTGTTGAGTAATTTGGTATTTTTTTTTTTATAAATTTAAGTAAAACCGAAATAGCGAAGTTACTATACTATTGTGATTTTTAATGGCATTGCTATTTAAATATAACTAATGCTGAATTTATAAGTTTCCTATCAGTGTTTTTGAGCCTAAAGTAGTAACATATTTTGCTGAGTCACTGTATGGGTATTGGTTTGAATTTAGAAAGGTTAAAGGATTCAAGGATGTATGAAATAGCAGCAAATACACCGTGAAATAGATCGATTTAACGTTTTTCAGCTGATGATGGCTTTTTCTTACACAAAAGTTAGAAAACTTTATTGCATTTAATGTTAATATAACTAAAGGTTGCTACTAGAAACTTCTATGGCATAGTTTTAGATGAATATGATTTTTTTCCTCTGTTTCACCATTAGGTCATGGACGTAATAATGTTGCATTATTTTGCAGAATTTCAGACTTCTGCTCGTATTTTCGTAAGCCGTATCCAATCCAGCGGCAAACTTCAAACGTCCACATTTCGTATAAACTTCCTTGTCGTTTGAAGAAACCCATAAAATTTTGCGTGCTGTTTACTAATCAGTCAAATTTGGCGTCCGTATGCCGCAATGATTAAAACATTAAATATCGAAATACGATGTTTTGCCATTCCGATCAGTAATTGGAATCTGTTTAATAAAATTCGTGAACGACTGCCGTGACAGCCGCGACGTTGATGAATTTACGATCAACGCTGTGCCGAGCTGTCTAGAATTTTACCCAGTAGACATCGACCACAGACTTGGAACGAATAGAATGGACAACACTGAAAATGAAAATAAATGATAAATATGCAATGAAAAATAAAGTAGTATAGGCAATTCTAAAGACTTTAAAGTCACAGAATTGACATCAGCTTTGTCGCTCATCAGCATACATGCGCTGTGCTCAAGTGACGCAAATGGCGCCGTACATTTTGATTATCATTGTAAAATAGATGCGCCCCAGGTGATGAATACCGAACGATACGCTTTTATGTCTGATGGCCGACGACTTTTACAACTTTGCTGGACTGAAAGGAGACTATACTAGTGACTTGTAAATTAGTGTTTCAATATGAAAGAACTAAAAAATATTGAGCTACTTGCGTATGACTCTTTTGGTAACCAATATTAGAGATGAAACTTTGTATGTCGAAAACAGAACGTATATTTTGAGGATAATGCACAAAACTAAATTAAAAATAAATACAGATTAATAAAGAACTGTACAAGAGCAGATGTTTTGATCCAAGACATAACTATCTTAGATTTTGCTATTGAAATTAGAACTTCCAAAAAGCATCAATTGATGACAGCAAAACAAAAATGGTGCATGAATAATAAAGAGAAAAAGGCGATACATTTAATGCGAGGGTTGCGAGGGCTATAAAGTAGGATCCTTTGTATCGAGGGCGTGAAGGATGCTTGTTTTCTGATCATAAACGCGTTCGCAAGTTGGCGGATCACATAAATCAATTGCGTATACCGGATAGAAGGTATGTCACCGACAAAATGTATACGTTTCCAGTTTGTAATTTGGCAATTTAACTCGAAAACCCGCATATTGGAGACAATTCTTTATAGTCAAATGACAGCATAAAAAGTCACATTTATACAAAAACTAGCTGTTGCTCACGACATCGTCCGCGTGAAAAGCTTCTAAAAAAGCTTACTCACTGATAACATAGCTTTTTAAAAGTGCAAAAATGTTCGAAATCGGTCTAGTAGTTTTTGAGTTATTTCAATACAAACAAGATACAAATCTTCCCCCTTCGTAATGTTAGTATGCTAGGTCACTTTGTGAATGAAATCGTTCGATATGAATTTTGCCCAATCAACGATTTGCAGGTAACAGTTATACATATTGTTATGCACCTCGGTCTGAAGTCAGTTAACGGCGGGTATGCACGTTAAATATTAATGTACTGCAATAAAATTGTCCGATTTTAAACTCGTTGTCACTTTATCCACGTTCAATGTATAAAACTTTTAATTTGCCTTCAAGTGCGTTCAATACATACGAAACTGTTGTCACGTGTTATTACTAGCTTTCGCCCACGACACTGTCCGCGT